CCAAAACAAGAACAAATAAACAAATCCCCTGACTAAGTTTATTCAATTTCCCCCTAACAGATCTGACTAAATATAAGTGTAAAGTGTTGGAATCAAGTCACTGACTAAAACCCAACAGAGAACAAATAGATGCAGGGGACAATCTGTTTGGTAGTGGAGATTTTCGCAAATAGATGAGTTAATCACTTCAATTTCTTCAGGAACTCTACTCACACAAACAAAGGCAAAAAAACTAAGGCTTTCTTCTAAAATTGGTACCAAAAAGGCAGTGCAAAATTACTACAAAATCAAAAGAATTAAAGTAGAAAAGAAGAAGATCAGAAACATCTAAGAAGCATGAAGTAATTGGCTGGGAAAAATTGGCCAAGTATATGATAATGATTCACAGTCCGAACCAAATCAATCTGCACCTAGTCCACCCATGCTCAAAGACAACAATCTAGCCATACTATCTGGAATTTCCTACTTCCTCAAAATTCCTATTCAATAGCACTATAGCAGCCAAACTCAATTTTTCCCCAAACAGCCAAACTCACAACCCATTGCATATACTCTACAGCAGTATAGAATATTGAATACCAATAGTCAATATAAATTATAGAAAACTCACCTACCGTATACCGACTTGGTAGCCGCCGATGAACGTCGCGTTGATGAACCGTGAACGCTGCTACCCTTCAGTCTTCGGACCACGGTGGATGCAGGGTTCTCATCAATTCGGTGTTTTTGTAATTCTCAATCTCAGATTATCTGCAGTGAACGCTGCTACCCTTCAGTCTTCAGACCACGGTGGATGCAGGGTTCTCCGTTCTTATCAATTCGGTGTTTTTCTTATTCTCAATTCTCAGCCAACAGGGTTTATATCACCGACGGATTGGGCCAAATAATTGGCCCATTTTTTTTTACACTAATTCAGTTTTTCACGGCGTGCAATTTTTTTTAATTCCAATTCGGGTTTTCACGGCGTGCATTGTTGCACGCCGTGTATTCTACTTTTGTTTTTTACGGTTGAAGACCATTTTTTACGGCATGCACAAAATGCACGCCGTAAAAAGCGACTTTTTACGGCGTGCAACAAATGCACGCCGTAAATACTTTATGCAATTGATCATTTACGGCATGCATTTTTTGCATGCCGTAAAAAGTCACTTTTTACGGCATGTGTCAATTGCATGCCGTAAACATATGCCGTAAAAAGCTATTTTTGTTGTAGTGAGTGGGAGAAATATATGATTTATAATCAAGATTAGCACACTTCATATTTCGTAAATGATAGAAACATATTGATGAAATTATTAAAGTTTCATGGTAAACGAATAAGTTTGGTTTGTCATACCACTTGACATTTTTCGTCATATGTATTGCCATGACATATTACTAGATGTCAATTTGGGACGACAAGTGTGAATTAATAATAAATTAAAAGAAAATTTTATTTATTGAATCTGATTGGATCAAAATAATAACTCAATTCATTAAAAATAATGATCGAGAACT